CCTGGACGAATCTGACCACAATCAAGTCCAGAGCTCAGTAGAAAAGGTCCAGGTGTGAGTACGCCTTAAGGGAGCGGTATATCTGGTAATCTTCGTTGCCTTTTATGGGCAAATTACAACTGTACGCCTTTTGCTGATTATCCTAACAACTACACCGATCTGGTGACCGAACTATTTTTGAGCACATGCCCACACTAGAACAGTTCCGGCGTATCCCTGGACGTGATTGCAGTCAAATGCATCCGCATCCGGACATAAAAGCARTCAGATGCACGTCAGAAAGTCCTCTTGTCAGCATGCCCTGATCAGTTTACGACAAGACGGGTACTTGTTAGGATAGTCCCAGAGCGGGGTATACTTGCACCCCTTCCATCTTCGCCCTGTCAGTCTAGATATAGCCATAATGACTGGGAGTGTTCTATTTGTTCTATTTGGCTGACAACGGTAGTGACGCGTTGACACTTGAATCCATTGTCTCTTAGGCAAGACCTGCAATGGAATCGGTGTTTTGTTCCAAAAAAATGAAAAGACAGAGATTTCAGAGAACAGGGGAGAAAAAAAAGAAAAAAGAAAAAAAAAAGGGAAAGAAAGAGCAGATAAAGAAGTATTGGTCAGATCCCACACACACTACTCCCACCAAGAGGCCCGTTAGACACTCCTCGGCGCATCCTCGGGCTCCGAGGGGAAATCCTCGGGGCAGCCCRAGGACTTTCCCGCTTTCGTTCCACTGCTCCCTCGGGACGAYGCCCGAGGATGCTCGGAGGACTGGCCGCGGGGAGACGTATAATTTTATACGCGGCCACGGGATGAAAGTTTGGGCGGTGGTCCATCGTCCGGTGTCCGTGCGAGCGGCCTTGGTCCACCGCGTTTGGCCTTCGAATTCGAAAAGGGACTGCCGCCGCCGCAATGAGGAAAAAAATCCGCGCGCGCGCGTGTACTTTCAAAATTAAAATTTCGAATCGGCCGACCATGCCGTGCGGTGTGGTTCCGCGGGGACATGTGGGTACCTTGGGGCGACCCCATCGGGGACTCTGAGGGGTTTTGTAGTAGGCGTCACGCGGGGCAGCCGCTAGCCGTTGTGGCGTCAGCACAATGTTCCACACGTATTTGAAGAGATGGCTCTCCGTGGCCCTCCGTCGACTGTTGTGAGCATTGTGTTCCGCCTTGCTCGTTCGTCCTCACGCACCGCGGCACGATCGCCATCTCCGCCAACTTGCTCGTGAGCAGTGTCCATTGCTGGCGGCATCCAGTCGAGTGTTAGGCGAGTTCACTCCGCGAGGATGACTGCGATGTCTGAGGTAGTCCATATGCGTGGAGTGGGTGATGGGGATGACGTCGGGGCCCGGTTGTCYGCTCTGGAGAGGGTTGTCGTGACGTCTGCCGTAGCCGCCGTCATCATGCATTGCRACATGGAGSTYGAATGTCAACGGCRGTGGGCACGACTACGTGCTCGGAGAAGGAAGTTGATGCCGRCGGCGAYGACTGAAGCGTTGGATAGCGCTGTCATCTGTGATGCCGTGTTGGAGGTGTGCTGTGCACTGGGGTGTGGGGGACTACCGAGGGCGAGGCCGAAGTGGTGGGTMAAAAGGAGGACGGGGGGGACTTGGGAGGATCTTCGGCCTGCGGACGACGCCACTGACGATTACTTCCGCGACAAGTTACRGATGTCTCCACGTGTCTTCCGCGAGATCGTTGAGAACTTGTCGCCGATTCTSCAGYGACGTGTGACGTTCTATAGGGAGTCGTTGCAACCAGACYAGATCGTCGCCTACGCGCTGTACAGGTGGGCGTCGGGCGAGCCATACGAGAGCAGCAGCTGCAGCTTTGGGATTGGCAGGGCTTCAGGTTTGGTGGTCGTCYGGGACGTTACTTCTGCGCTGCTTTCGGTGTACAKGGAGAAGGTGGCGTGGCCGACTGGGGTGCGGAAGGCGATCGTTCTGCGTGCTTTTGCAGACAAGGGTTTCCCGAACTGCCATGGGTGCATCGACTGCACCCATATCTAYGTCGATAAGCCCGCGAATGCACCTGCAGAAGACTACTACGACCGCAAGAGACGATTCTTTGTCGTTGCTCAAGTGGTGGTCGACTTGGACTTGCGCATCCTGGACGTGTTYGTGGGATATCCGGGGAGCTGCCACGACGTCCGGATCATCCATCTCTCCAGTCTATGGTCGCGGGTGGCGGCGGGAGAGTTGTTTACAGGGCCTCCTGTGCTGCTACCGTTCCAAGTGCAGACGAATGGTTATCTGCTGGCCGACAATGGTTACCCGGCGATCGAATGGATGGTTGTCCCGTTTGGCGGCGTGGCGCAGCATCCCCTGGAGAGTCGTTTCGACAGCAGGCAGAAGACCGCGAGGG